GGGCCTGAGATGTGTGTTGATGCAGCACGGGAAGGTTATTGCCTATGCATAAAGACAATTGAAAGACTATGAAAAGAACTATCCAACCCATGACTTGGAGTTGGCCATTGCAGTTTTCGCATTAAAGATATGTTGACACTATCTTTATGGAGAGAATGCTCAGATTTACACTAACCATAAAAGCTAGAAGTATTTCTTCACTCTGAAGGAGCTGAATATGAGACAGCAGAGGTGGTTGAAACTAGTCAAAGATTATGACATTGACATTCAATACCACCCCAGAAATGCCAATGTGGTTGTAGATGCCCTTAGTGGGAAGACAGCTCATTCGTCAGAATTAATCACGAAAGAGCCGAGGGAACACAGATTTTGAACTAGTTGGAATAACAGTAGTAGTGGAAGGTATTAAAGCACAAATAACTCAATAGACTGTACAACCCACCAATCGACAAAGAATCGTTGATGCTCAAGTAGGAGACCCTGAGTTGGAAAAGATACTTAATGAGATGGAGACAAAACCAACTAAAAGATACTCCATGTCATCTTATGGTGGATTTTTGTATCAAGGTCAATTTTGTGTACCAATGGTAGAATGGTTGAGAAATGAAATATTAAAGGAGGCACATAACTCTCCGTTCGCCATGCACCCTGGTGGTACCAAAATGTATCAAGACATAAAGTCACACTTTTGGTGTCGTAGAATGAAAAAGGATATCGCAAAGTTTGTGAGTAGATATTTGGTTTGCCAATAAATCAAAGCACCTAGAAAGAGACCGATGAGATTGTTGTAGCCTCTTAGTGTACCAAAATGAAAATGGAAGAATATTTTCATGGATTTCGTAATAGGACTACCAAGAATGTTTAAGGGTTACACGGTCATATGGGTGATTGTGGACAAACTGACAAGGTCAGCGCATTTTCTTCCTGGTAAAACTACCTACGTAATGGATAATTGGGCATAGCTATACATGAAGGAAATTTTCAAACTGCATGGAGTTCCTATGTCAATTGTTGCAGACTGAGACCCACATTTTACTTCGGTGTTTTGGCGTGGACTCTAGAAAGCATTGGGTATTCACCTGGATTTTAGTACAGCATTTCACCCACAGACAGATGGATAGACAGAACGTTTGAACCAAATTCTAGATGATATGTTATGTGCTTGTGATCTTGACTTCGTTGGTAGTTGGACTTGAAATTGCATCTCATGGAATTCGCCTAAAGTAATAGCTATCAAAAAACAATTGGCATGGCACTATATGAGTCATTATATGGAAAACAGTGTAGGACACCATTGTGTAGGGATGAGGTAGGGGAACGTGAATTAGTGGGTCCTGAATTGGTCCAAGAAACGAATGAGGCGGAGTAAAAGATCAGAGAAAGAACGCGCAGTGCTTAGAGTAGACAGAAAAGTATGCGGATTCAAGACGAAGAAATTTGGAGTTTGAAGTGGGCGATGGTAATCTTGAAGGTGACCCCAATGAAAGGTGTCCTAAGGTTTGGACACAAAGGCAAACTGAGTCCACGCTTTATAAAAACTTTTGAAATTTTGGAATGGATCGGACCCGTTGCATATAGGTTAGCCCCACCTCCATCTCTCTCAACTATACACAACACATCCTTGACGCATGTGATAGATTAGGAGGCTCTGGATGTATCTGAAGACTTAAGCTATGAGGAAAAGCCATTGGAAATCTTGACTCGCACCAGAGACATTGCATTTGTTAAGGTGTGGTGTTGAAACCAACTAGTGGAGGAGACCACATGGGAACGAAAGGATGAGATAAGAGAAAAGTACCTAGAGCTGTTTCTAGGCACAACTACTTTCGAGGAGGAAAGTCTTTTTTAGGGGGGATAATGTAAGGATTGAGATTTCAAAAATAAAATAATAATAATAAAGTGTAGCATTTATGCTCGCTGAAAAAAGGCATAATTTTCAGTGAGACAATTATTACATGTATGAAATGCCTCAAAGACCCCTTAAACCTCTATTTTCACAAATTCTTTAGCATCCTTACAATCGATTTTTGATAACTATCTAAAAGTAGAGTCATATCAAGTCTTTTTGTAGTTAATATTGCACTCTTATTCACCATTTTCTCATTTATAACCCAATTTATTCTACTTAGTGAGCATGAAATCGTTTATTGCGGTCCAACGTGAAAAAAAAAATGATTTGGCATAAATTGATCTTAATGGTATATTTAATTTAGTTATGTGGTAAAATTTCAGACATTTATGCTAAAACCATGTGGGAGTAGCAAATTTGGAAACAAATGGGGGATGACATGGAAATTTTAAATCCACGTCAGCAGTCCAAGTGGGTCATTGACTACCCAATAAGGAACATCCTATGTTGACTACTTATTCCTTTTCAGTCCTAAAGGGGAATCCATGCTCAATATAAAAGAAAAAGGAAAACTAAAAGGAGGAGAGCCACACTTTGGGGAGAAAAATTGAATTACACAGCAGCAGCCTCTGTTGCAGTGAACTGCTGTGAAACTAGAGAAGAAGGAAGAAAACCCTAATCCAGCAGTTGTTGACAGCATAAGGAAAATGAGACCAACAAGGATTGATTAGGGCAAAGAGGTGGACGTGAGAGCTCAAGAGAAGGGAACTTCCATTGACGAACGGCAACAAACCGGGATAACTCTCTATTTCCTTATCCTATTTCCTTATTCCATCAATTTACATGATGAAGATGCGGATTCCTCTGTTAATTTAGTTTGCATGGAGAGCTAAACTTAATAGGGGAGGCGAGAGAGTTTTATATAGTTTAAGTATGTTGACAATATGATTTTAGTTTATTAAAGAGTTGTTAATGATTTACATGTATGTTTAATTAGCTACTTTACATACATAGTTGTTCTCTTATTCGGGAGAAGAGAGGGAGCAATGAAATCCTCTTTAATACTCTAGTTCCATAGCAAGAAGACTTGAAGGGTAATAGAAGGGTTAGGAATAATTCTTCTCTTAGAGCCTTGCTAATAGAAATTACAACGATTATGGAAATAATCACCATTCATGACCCTCGAAGTGGGCTTGGGAATCTATTAAAAGGAACTAAAATCTACCACAAAACTCAACAACTTATCTATTTAATCTCTCCTAGCCAAACCTTCCATATTATAATTGATGTTCTCATGATTTTTTGTTTTTCGACAATAGTGGCACTCTATTCTAGTTTTGTTTAAGTAGTTAAAATCATCAACACCCATTTGAATGTTACCCAAAAACTCACTTAAATTTCAGCGATAAAATTAACCAAAAAGATAAGTTCCCTGTGGAATCGATAATTTACTTATTACTTGCTACTTGTCATAGTGTATACTTACACTTATTCTTGTGAATTTTACATCATTTTATTATATACATTCACAAGTGATCAAGTTTTTGGCGCTGTTGCCGGGGAACCTAATTTGGTTTATTTTACTTGTTGTAGATTTTTGTGAGCTATAGCCAACAAGAAGCCATAGTAAGTTGAGTTTTTTACTGCTGTATTTACTGTTGAAGAATTGAGTTTACTGCTGCAGAATTCTGTGTATGAACCCACCTACGGGTTTGGAGCCAGTTGAATCGGGAGTTTGAAAATCCAGTGATGATGGCTAATCAATAGAGAATTACTACCAATGCCATTCATTTAGCAGATGACAGAGAAAGAGCGATCCGAGCATATGCACACCCAGCTGTGGAAGAGCTAAATCCGTGCATCATTAGACCCTAAATGCAAGCAACCACGTTTGAGCTAAAACCTGTGATGTTTCAAATGTTGCAAACCATTGGGCAATTTCATGGACTATCGTCGGAAGATCCTCACCTACACCTAAAGTCATTTTTGGGAGTTAATGACTCATTTCGATTTCAAGGAGTGGATAAAGATGTGATTAGACTGAGCTTATTCTCGTATTCATTGAGGGATGGTGCTAAATCATGGTTGAATACCTTAGCACCGGTAATAATTGATTTGTGGAATAGTCTAGCAGAGAAATTTTTGATCAAGTATTTCCCACCCACTAGAAACGCACGGTTCAGAAATGAGATTGTTGCTTTTCAACAGTTTGAAGATGAGACACTAAGTGAAGCTTGGGAGAGATTTAAGGAGATGCTTAGAAAGTGTCCTCACCATGGATTACCTCATTGTATACAAATGGAGACTTTCTACAATGGATTAAATATTGCTACTAAACAAGTAGTTGATGCTTCCGCCAATGGAGCTATTTTGTCAAAGACATACAATGAAGCATATGAGATTTTAGAGAGAATTGCATCTAACAATTGTCAATGGGCCGATGTGAGAAGCAACCTAGGAAGGAAGACTCGAGGAGTACTTGAAGTTGATGCTCTATCCTCTATCAATGCTCAACTAGCTTCGGTGACTAATATTTTACAAAATCTAGCGCTGAGGCAAGACTCCATGATCAAAGCACCAGTCCATACAGCTGCTGTAATTAACCAGACAACAGCCGAATCTTGTGTATATTGTGGAGAAGAACACACCTTTGATCAATGTCCAAGCAATCCGACCTCAATTTTCTATGTCGGGAATCAAGCTAGTCAAGGCAACCCGAAAAATAACCCCTTCTCAAACACTTATAATCTGGGGTGGAGAAATCATCCAAATTTCTAATGGAAGGGACAAGGCTCGTAGAACCAAAAAATGCCACCTAAAGCAAATTACCCTTCTGCTTTTGGAGTACAAAATCAATTGGCTTATAGTTCTCAACAAGTCAACACCCAAGGGAAAGGAACTACCCAAGCTCAATGCACATCGCGAACATCTATTGAGAGCCTAATAAAGGAATATATGGCTAAAAATGATGTCGTGATACAAAGTCAACAAGCCTCATTACGAAATTTGGAAGTTCAAGTAGGTCAATTAGCAACTGAGTTACGAAATAGGCCTCTTGGGAAGCTGCCAGCAGACACCGAAACACCAAAAAGAGAAGGCAAAGAGCAATGTCAAGCAATAGAGTTGAGAAGTCGAAAAAAAAATACCCAGCATGGGAGAAAAAAGTGCAGAACAAGGTGACAGCCATTCCCTAGAAACTGCTAATACACAGCAAAGAAATGAGGAAGCTGCTATACAAAAAGAACACAGTAAGGATTATGTAGAAATTGAAGAGCAGCCTAAAATGCAAACAACAGCCAGCAATGGACAAGAGAGCCGAACATACACACCATCACCTCCTTTTCCACAAAGAATAAAAAGAAAGAAAGAGGAAGCCCATTTTGAGAAGTTTATGGATATTCTGAAGGAGATTCATATAAACATACCACTAGTGGAAGCTTTGAAGCAAATGTCAAATTATGTGAAGTTCTTGAAGGATGTACTCACTAATAGAAGGAAGTCTGAAGAATTTAAGGTGGTGTCATTAAATGAATAGTGCAGTGCAATATTGAAGAACAAGATCCCTTTAAAGGAGAAAGATCCTGGATCGTTCACTATTCTTGTATCAATTGGAGGAAAGGAGCTAGGAAGAGCATTATGTGACTTGGGAGCAAGCATCAACTTAATGCCTCTATCTATTTACAAGAAGTTGGGGATTGGAGAGGCTAGACCGACTACAGTCACCTTACAACTAGCCGATAGGCTCATCACTTATCTCGAAGGAAAGATTGAAGACATCTTAATTCAAGTTGACAAATTCATATTTCCTACAGATTTTATCATTTTAGATTATGAAGCTGATCATGATGTTCAAATTATTTTGGGAAGGCCATTTTTAAATATCGGAAGAACATTAGTAGATGTCTACAAAGGAACCATCACGTCAAGAATGGGTGACCAAAAATTTGAATTTAATATCAATGACAGCATGAAATATCCCACAGTGACAGAAGAATGCTCAGTAGTGTATGAATTGACAGAACAACCAGCGACCGAGGAATGGGATGATAGGGAAAGCGAGCAGGAAGAAGACAACAGCTGGAATGACATAATAGAATAGTTAGCAGTTTTAGGTGAATTTAGCATAACTTTTTAGTCACTAGAATGTGAGGGAAGAAAGACTTCACCGATGAGACCATCTATTGAGGAAGCGCAGCAACTGGACTTGAAACCACTACCACCTAACCTTAAGTATGTTCATTTAGGTGACAAGAAGACACTACCCATCATCATCTCAGCGACACTATCCTCGACTCAAAAGGATATGCTCCTAGAAACATTAAAGAAGCACAAGGGGGCGATAGGTTGGACATTGGCAGATATAAAAGGAATTAGCCTTTCACTATGCATGCACAAAATACAATTGGAGGAAGGAAAAGTTAAGTGTATTGAGCAACAAAGACCATTAAATCTCATGATGAAGGAGGTTGTTAGAAAGGAGATTCTCAAATGGGTAGATGTTGGAATAATTTATCCAATTGCAAACAGCAGCTGGGTCAATCCTATTCAATGTGTTCCGAAGAAATGAGGGATAACAGTAATGGCAAATGAGAACAATGTTGATCCCCACTAGAATAGTGAATGGATGGAGAATTTGCATGGATTATAGAAGGCTAAACAAAGCGACACATAAAGATCATTTTCCCTTACCATTCATTGATTAAATGCTTGATAGGCTTGCTAGAAAGTCACATTATTGCTTCTTGGATGGTTATTTGAGATACAATCAAATTACAATCAGTCTAGAAGATCAAGAGAAAACTACATTCAATGCCCATATAGAATTTTTGTCTTTAGACGAATGCCATTTGGACTATATAATGCTCCAGCAACATTTCAACGTTGCATGATGACCATTTTTACAGATATGGTAGAAACATTTATGGAGATATTCATGGATGATTTTTCGGTTTATGGAGAATCTTTTGAGATTTGTTTGTGCAATATAGGGAAGGTTCTGCAAAGATGCGAAGAGAAGAATCTTGAATTGAATTGGGAAAAATGTCATTTTATGGTCAATGAGGGAATAGTGTTAGGCCACAAGATCTCAAGAAGAGGAATAGAAGTTGATAAGCAAAGATAGAAGCTATTGAAATATTGAATCCACCTACGTCAGTTAAAGGTATAAGAAGCTTTCTGGGCCATGCAGGGGTTTATAGGAGGTTTATTAAAGATTTCTCCAAGATTGCAAAACTGTTGTGTAGTTTGTTGTGACAATCAATGCATGACTGCCTTCCAAGCATTAAAGACAGCATTGACCACATCTCCTATAATGTCAACACCCGATTGGAATTCACCATTTGAGTTGATGTGTGATGCTAGTGGCCATGCTGTGGGGGCAATGTTAGGACAGAAAAATGGGAAGGTACTTCATCCTATCTATTATGCCAACAAAACGTTGAATGAGGCTCAAGTGAATTATACAACCACTCAAAAAGAATTGTTGGCTGTAGTATTCACTGTTGAAAAGTTCAGAGCTTATTTATTTGGAGCTAAGGTGAAAGTGCACACTGACCACACAGCAATCAAGCACCTAATAAATGTCAGGCCAAGATTAATTAGATGGATTCTACTGTTACAAGAGTTCGAGATAGAAATCGTGAACACGAAAGGAGCTAATAACCACGTAGCGGATCACTTATCTAGAATGGAGAACATGGAAGAAAAGGTCGATAGCAAAGAAATTGATGATGCATTTCCGGATGAACAGTTGCTTGGGATAAACAGCAGTAGCAGAATGGCAGCAACTCCATTGTATGCAGACATAGCAAATTTTTTGGCTTGTGCCATCATACCCGAAGAGAAATTATCAACAAAAGAAGAGGTTTTACCACGAATCCAAAAGTTACATTTGGGATGAACCTTTTCTTTTTAAACAATGTGGAGACGGCATAATGAGAAGATGCATTCCAGACAGCGAAATACCAACAATTCTTAAACAATGTCATGCATCTCCATATGGAGGTCATTTTGGAGGGCAAAGGACAGCAGCCAAGGTATTTCAATAGGGTTTCTATTGGCCAACAATTTTCAAAGATGCAAAAGAATTTTGCAAGGGTTGTGATCAATATGAAAGGACGGGAAATATCAGTAAAAAAAAATGAGCTACCCTTGAATTCAATTTTAGAAGTGGAACTTTTTGATGTATGGGGCATTGACTTTATGGGACCATTTCTGCCATCTTATGGGAACTTATATATTCTAGTGGTTGTCGACTATGTGTCCAAGTGGGTGGAAGCAATAGCTTGTCCATCCAACGATGGGAAGACCGTACTCAAGTTTTTAAAAAGAAACATATTCACTAGGTTTGGTGTACCAAGAGCATTAATCAGCGATGAGGGAACACACTTTGTGAACAGATTGATGAATAGTCTTTTAGAGAGAAACAATGTAAAACATAGAGTGGCGACACCTTATCACCCTCAAATCAATGGGCAAGCAAAGGTCTCCAACAAAGAAATTAAAAGTATTTTGGAAAAGGTGGTACAACCCAACAGGAAAGATTGGTCGATGAAACTTGATGATGCATTATGGGCATACAGGAGAGCCTTCAAAACCCCGTTAGGAATGTCTCCTTACAAGCTAGTTTTTGGGAAGGCATGTCATCTACCCTTGGAATTGGAACATAAAGCATATTGGGCATTAAAGAAGTTAAATTTTGACTATACACCAGATGGAGACTTGAGGTGAATGCAACTAAATGAATTGGAAGAATTCAGGTACCTAGCCTACGAAAATGCTAAGATGTACAAAGAAAAAAATAATAATGTGGCATGACAATAAAATTAGGCCCAAGGAATTCTACAAAGGACAAAGAGTGTTGTTATTCAACTCAAGGCTGATATTATTTCTTGGAAAATTAAAACAAGATGGTCTGGTCCATTTATAGTTCAAGAAGTCACTCCATATGGGGCAATAACGATAAAACATGGAGACGAAAGGAGACCTTTCACAGTGAATGGACAGAGACTAAAGCCATATTTTGGTGGAGAACTAAAAAGAGGCATTGCCTCTTTAAGCTTAAAAAGCTGAAAAATAAAACATTTTGGAGCAAACGAGGGAGCTGACAAGGAAGTTTTTCTTCTCCTTTTATTTATGCACTTTTAATTGTTTTTAAATAGTTATCTTCACTTATCTTAGGATGGTAGTTTTTTTAGATGTTATTTTTACGTTTTTATCATGAATGACTAGCATACCCCCAGTAAGTAGCAAATTTTTTGTAGATGAATTAGGAGGATTCTGATGTGGTTAAAAAGGTTAATTTCAAAGTAGTAATGAGGTTAATTACATTTGGTACATATTAAGTTGATATTAGTGCCAAAGTTATTCTCTTTCGGTGTATGTTGTCATGAAGTACCGTGTTCTTCCTCATTTGCATGAATTTGATCTAATTGTTGTGCACTTTCTCACGAAACCTCAAGTCAAAGCACCAACGCAAAAAGATGACACCAATTTGATATCAAACAAGAAAAAAGAAAACTTTGAGGGAAAAATAAAGAATATATATAATTATTGACAGCATACTTCTGCTTATAAGAAAAAAAAATTTAAATTGTGGTAACAGTCTGCATTCATTACGACAGATTGTTATGTTAATAAAAATATCAAAAAAATTTTACTTACCCAAGTAGTCATCTTTTGTGTTATATACCACCTACTTCCACAAAAGATAACAATTCACCTTCACACTTACAAGCAACCAAGGATAAAAAAAATTTAGCTTGCAACCGACAATCATGGCACCGAGAACAAGAGGCAAAAAAACAGTGTGAGGGAAGGAAGAAGTGCAGCAAGATGAAGTGCAAGAAATAAATCAAGATCTCTTCCTAACGGGCACCGATTCAAAACGAAGAGAAAAGGGAAAGAACAAAATGGAGAACCTCCCAACAAAAAGGAATATTTGCAAATGAGGAGGCGTACAACAGGTATGAACTCCTCAAGTCAAGAGTAGTGTTGGTGGAAAGAAGGTTCCCAGCATTTTATCCTACATTCCCGAGTCCTTTCTTAACGCCATCAACGATCTTGGGTGAGAGATATTCTGTCACCAAAGGGAGCAAGCTATAGTGCCGATAGTGAAGGAGTTTTACGCACATATTGAACAAGTGCAAGGGTACACAACATTAGTAAGAGGAAAAATAGTTGATTGGAGCCCTAAAGCCATTAACCAACTGTTTCACCTACAATCTTTTGAGTATGCCACCTTCAACGAAATGGTGCTAGCTCCATCAGATGATCAACTTGAGATGGCTTTGAAGATGGTAGCCATAGAAGGAACACGATGGCAGCTCTCGAGAGGAGGAGCAAGGACGATAATAGTAGCAGACCTCAACCAACTTACTACCCACCACACATGATACTACATTGTTAGTTGACAGAGTTTTACTTGTGTAAGCAATCATAATGAATTTGAGCATCGATGTGGGCAAGATCGTAGTGGATGAGATTGTCAAATGTGCAAGTAAGAAAGTGGGGAGACTGTTTTTTCCACACCTGATAACCATGTTGTGCCTGGAGGCTGCAGTCCCTTTTGATGAGGAAGAAGAAAGACTTGAGGCAAGGAATTTGATGGACTACATAGAAACCCATAGCAAAAGGCGATATGGATCAACTACTGAAATAGAAAAAGGCTTTACTCAGCTGGTGCGAAAACAGTGAAGGGAGTTGTAAGGCGTATTGGTCTTATGTCAAAAAGAGGGATGAGGAAATACATAAAGCCTTAAGAACCAAGTCCAAAAATTCAACATTCCCAAGTTTTTCCGACGAAACTTTTAAAGAGTGGAGCAGCAAAGAATCATCCCATGTGGTAGAGGAGGAAGAGAACATTTCCCCTACTAATGCCTAAAATCAAGGGAATTCTCTTACCACACTCTTTATAACCTTGTTGTCCCATTTAGAAGCATGCATCCTTATATTGTGTTTATTTTTGTTGTGTTTGTTTTGTTGTGTTGACTGCATGTAACTTTGAATCATGCTCATGCATGCAATCTAGAAGCATGAAGTTTTAGGAAGGGTAATAGATCATACATATTTTGTTTCATATGTAGTCATGATGTTTTGTGT